CCCCGGTACTCCGTACTGCCCCCCCCCCCCCCCCCCCCCCCTTCCCCTCCACTCACATCCACTCTGGGTAGGTCTCAACGGAGAGCTGGAACGACTGGAGAGCGAGGTTCAGCGGTTCCGGTCAAACTGCGCGGCGCTGCACAGCTATCAGGCTGCCTACCTGGTGGTCTGCCAGGCGTTCATGAACATGGCTGGCGCTGGTGCTGCACAGCCGCAGGTCGGCGACTCGCTCGATCGTCACATGCTAGAGTCGGTCTCGCTTCCGCCGCTGTGATCGGACCAAGCCACCCCCCCTTCTCATGCCGGAGCCGCACCGATCGATGCAAACCGCTGCTCGCTGCTCGTCATGGTCTTGGTCTGGAGCCGGACTTTGCAGCAGACGCTTGAGCGGGGGTTTGGGGCAAGAATGTGTACTGGCATGAGATAGACTCGGAGGGAGAGAGAGAGCTGCCGGTTGCCGGCTACGTGATCCAGTTGCGGCAGTGGCAACGATAGTGAGAGTGCTGACGTTGGCGATGACGGCGATGTTGGCGCCGATGGTAACATACCTGTGTAGTATGTGTAGTGCGGTGCGTGTGTGATTAGCCCTCTCATTGGCCTGTGCCCCCGGACGCGGCACGCGTCCAGGAGGCTGCCGGCGGCACCGACGTCGCCGCTCTCGCCCGCACCCTCGTCTACGTCTACCCATCTCTCCCCGCATGCCACCCATCCCAGGCCCGCTGCGGCTGCCTCTGCTCGGCAACGCATGGTGGGTGGCCAAGGAGGGCGGTTCGAGTCGGATGGTGCCCATGCTCCGCAAGATGTACGCCCGATGGGGCGAGGTGGTGAGCCTCGGCGGCCTCGGCGAGGAGACGGTGGTGGTGTTCGACCCAAGGGTCTGGGCCCAGGTCCATGCCGCGGCAGGGCCATGGCCCACAGGCGCTACAGACTCGCTTTGGATGCTGCATGCCTTTTTGAGAAGAGGGCAAGGCGCGGAGTCCGTGAGATAGCCATGGCGTTTGGCACCGACACCTGGCAGGCGACTCGGACCGCCATGCAGCGGACGCTGCTCTCGCCCCAGGCTGCCGCCAGGTATGCATCATCGGTCGATCGTGTGGCGAGGCGCGCAGCCAAGGAGCTGGCAATGAGTTGTGGCCGCATCGACTTGCATCGCTGGCTCCAGCAGCTCTCGTTCGACATGGTGTGCGGAGCGGTGCTTGGCGCGCCGTTGCCGCGCCCGGTCGACGGCGGCATGCATCCGCTGCTGGCGGCGACAGTCCGATCCATGGAGTGTGCGTCGGGCATGCTGATGAGTCCGCTGGGCAAGAAACACGCAACGATGCGGACCAGACTCTGGCGCGACTGGCAGGCTTCGCTTCAGTTTATGGTCGAGCATAGCAAGGCCGATGTGGCTCGCGCTCTCGGCGCCCCGCCCGCCTACGGCTTCTCCTATGCCCACGACCTGGTCGAGTCTGGCGCGATCGACGCCGATGCTGTTGCCGCCAACATGCCCGGCCTGTTGATGGCCGGGTTTGAGACGGTGGCGTCGACGCTCCACTGGACCCTCATCCATCTCGGTAGCAACCCCGAGGCGCAGGCCACGCTGCGGGCCGAGATTGCCGCTGTCGTCGGCAGCGATGAGCTTTCCCGCGGCCATGTGCGTCGGCTGCACTACCTCAAGGCCGTGCAGCGCGAGGTGCATCGCCTCACGCCAACCGCCTTTATGTTTGTCCGTATGCTGGACGAGGCGACAGAGGTGGTGCTGGGATCTGGCAAGGCCCTTGAGCTCCCGGCCAGTACCTGGCTCGCGTTTTCCCAACCGGCGTCGCTCACGACCCGCAGCATGTCGAGAGTCCAGAACTCTTCCGGCCTGAGCGCTTCCTCAGCTCCAACATCGACAAGTCTGCGCTCATCCATCACCCGCTGATGCGCGACGGGTTCTCTGTTGGCCCGCGCATGTGTCTTGGCGCGCGGGTGGCCCATCTTGAGCTTGTAGCCGCCACTGCAGCCGTGATGCAGGCGGTCGAGGTCCAATGCGACGCCACGCCGTGGGAGATCCACAACCATGCGTCGACGTATCCCTCGCCCGCCCCGCAGCTCTCGTTCCGAGTTCTCTGACCTCATACGACACACATCAAGTCCATGACCCCGCACGCCCGGCCTACGAACGGTAGGACCTGTGATCGGATGGGTTACACAGCAACAAGAGCAAAGGCCTTGAAGGATGGCCATGACCCGCAGCGGGCCGCAGCCAGTCCATCCCTCGCGGGTCAGAAAAAGAGGTCGTAGAATCTTCCCCACTCGGCGGTCACATTGTCGACCGGCGCGAGAGGAGCGACGGGCACTTGTCTGAGGCAGGGAGCGAGTATGGCAGCACCTATGGAGATCAGTAGCATTGCCAGCGGAGGCGGGGCGGGTGCGTCGTCGAGCAAGAGCGGAGGTTACTCTGGTGACGCCACCTTCTCTGTCCCGTGGGTGGAGAAGTACCGGCCCAACACGGTGGAGGAGATCACGGGCAATGAGGCAACGGTGGCGAGGCTCAAGGTCATTGCCAAGCAGGGCAACTTGCAGAACTGTCTCATTGCCGGTCCTCCCGGGACAGGTAAGACGACTTCCATTCTGTGCCTGGCACGCGCCCTGCTTGGAGACGCCTTTGCAGAGGGCGTGCTCGAGCTCAACGCGTCGGACGAGCGCTCTATCGATGTCGTCCGCAACACCATCAAGCGGTTCGCACAGAAGAAGGTGACCCTGCCTCCGGGCCGGCACAAGATTATCATCCTCGATGAGGCAGACTCGATGACTACCGGCGCGCAGCAGGCGCTGCGGCGGACGATGGAGCTGCACTCGGCCACCACCCGCTTTGCCCTCGCCTGCAACGACTCGACCAAGATCATCGAGCCCATCCAGTCGCGCTGCGCCATCCTGCGCTACGCCCGGCTCACCGACCAGCAGGTCCTTGACCGGCTGCTGCAGATCATCAAGGCCGAAGGCGTCGAGTCGACCAACGAGGGGCTCGAGGCTCTGGTCTTCACCGCCGACGGCGACATGCGCCAGGCCATCAACAACCTCGAGTCGACCGTCGCCGGCTTTGGCATGGTCACCCCCGACCACGTCTTCAAGGTCTGCGACCAGCCGCATCCGGTCGTGGTCAAGGCCATGATTGCTGCTGTCCGCCAGGGCGACCTCCTTGCCGCCAACGCCCGCCTCGAGACTCTCTGGTACCAGGGCTACTCGGGCTCGGACATCATCGGCACTATCTTTAAGATTGTCAAGTCGTACCCGGATCTCTCGGAGATGCACAAGCTCAACATGATCAAGGAGATTGGCATCACCCACACTCGCTTCACCGACGGTGTTGTCTCACTCCTGCAGCTCGCCGGCCTGCTCGGCCGCATGATCGACTGCCTCCGCGAGTGAGTCCAAATCGCGCGGGTCTTGGCACGACAGAGATTGAGAGAGTGAGTTCTCAGAGAGAGAAAGAGAGAGGGAGAGAGAGAATGAGGGGTGGTTGTGGAGAGCAGTGTGCGGAGGAAGAATGTAGAAACAAAGCCCGTGGCGAGTCAATCAGAATAGGGGGAGGGATCCGATTGCCTGCGGTGGCTGCCAGCTGGTGGCGCATCCCGTGGCGCGGCCGCACGCCGCACGCCTGTTCGGTAGCGACCGGCCCCTCTCCCTCCCCACTCGACGTCGGATGAACACGTCAGCGTCAGCGTCGTCGCTGGCCTCGCTCGGGTCGCCCATGGCCTCGCCGTCGCCAGTACGGCGACTCTCGTTCGCCACCCATGGCCCTGAGGCCTTTGAGCGGCTGCTTGGCCCGGGCCTGGACGCGGTGTGCGCCGCGGCGGGCGCACCGGGCCTCTCGTTTGCGCTGATCCACAGCCTGGCACTTGCGCTCTCGCACGCACCGGCCCAGGTGCTGACGCCGCCGGCATCACCAGGTCCGCGATCGGTGGCTAACGGGCCGGAAACTCTGGTTGCGACGGCGGGCGGTGTCGATCTCTCGGTCTCAGCGCCGGTCACGCCGCTGAGGCGCTCGCCGTCGCTGCTGTCGTCGCTAGACGAGCTTGTCCGGGTGGTGGTGGTCGACGAGATGGCATCAGTCGGCGGTGAGGTTGTAGTGGGTACTGGCTTTGCTGATGAGGTGGTCGATGCAGTGGTGGCTGGTCTTGCGCCGCTGCGGTTGTCGCCGGTCCGTGCAGTGCCACGGTCGCGGACGCACTCGCGGCCGTCGTCGCCGCCGACGCTCGTCGCCACCTCACAAACGCTCTCCGGCTTGCTGGCGGTCCCCGGCCGGTGCACCTCGCCGATATCACCGGGCTCGAGTCTCGACTCGGAATCTGGCTCGTGTGGCTCCGGCTCGAGCTCAAGCTCGGAGCCAGATGCTGACTCGGGCTGTAGCACCGTCTCGGACGGCAGGTGCGAGACAAGCTCGTGCTCGGGCTCGGGGTGGTGCTCATCTCGGACGCGCTGGCGGCGTCTCTGAACACCTCGGTTTGCGGCGGCAGTGAAAGGCAAGGATCTGCGTTCAACGAGGCGCGGCATGCGTCGGGCGCGGCGCTGTCGACGATCTCGCTGTCAGAAGTGGTACTGCTCGACAAGGTGGGCGAGGGCTCGTTCGGGGCTGTGTATCGCGGGCGGGTATGGGGTGTTGATGTAGCAGTCAAGACGCTTCGCGACGAGGCTGTGTCTGGTGACGCGGGTGCGGTCGACGACATGGTCCACGAGATCGAGGTCCTCTCACGGCTGCGACACCCGAACATCGTTCTGTACATGGGTGCGCTGGTGGAGGAGCGCGGTGTGTTTATCGTGACCGAGTTTCTGGAGGGCGGCTCGCTGTTCATGCTCCTGCACGAGACTTCCGAGGTGTGCGACATGGAGCACGTGCTGCGACTGGCACACGAGGCCGCGTTGGGCGTGGCGTACCTGCACGGACTGCGGCCGCCAGTCATCCATCGCGATCTCAAGTCTGAGAACATGCTTCTCGACGAGTCCGGGACGGTCAAGGTGGCCGACTTTGGGCTCTCGGTCATTGCGTCACGGGCGGGAGTGGTAGAGACGGCTGGGACGTTCCAGTGGATGGCGCCCGAGATGCTCCGCGGCGAGGCGTATGGCCCTGCAGTCGACGTCTACTCGTTCGGCGTCTTGCTCACTGAGCTTGTGACGCGGCAGCTCCCGTTCCGCGACCAGCTTGACGAGCGGACGCTTCGCGACATGGGCGAGCTGCTGGACGCTGTTCGCGATGGGACGGCCAAGCCGACACTGCCGGCGTGGCTGGCCGGCCCACTCGCGGCGCTCATCAACGACTGTCTGGAGACCAAGGCCGAGGCGCGCCCCGAGATGGCGCGGGTAGCGAAGCGGCTGCGAGTCCTGCGCGGACAGATTGGCCTGCGGGAGCTCGAGGTCCCGCGCATCCACCACTGGCTCCGGCAGCGGCACGAGCGGCTGCACGAGGTGGCGCTGCGGCAGATCGCGTGGCTCCACATGGACACCCTCGTAGAGCTTGGACCGCAGTTCCTCTCGTCGCTGACATCGCTGATCTGGAAGACGCCAGCGTCTGCGGCCAACTTGCTGTACCACCTGTTCCAGGCACTGGATCGGCTTCTACGAAACGCGACGGCGCGGGCCCACTTTGTCAGCTCAAGCGACGAGGGCATTCCGCTGCTGGTCTCACGCATCTCGGACGCCCGCCGGCCGTCCTCCACGTCCTCCTCAACTTGCTCTGCAACCTTGCGCAGGCATCTCCTGCAGCAGCGGCGCTTATCCAGGACGCGCTGCTCGAACTCGGCATGCTCAAGCACTTGTTTCTGCTCGAGGATGCAACGCCTGCGGCGTCCAAGCTGCTCGCAGTGCTCGGCGGCGCAAGCCATTTGCGGCCGAACCCGACAGCGCCAGCGTCGCCGCGATCGCCGAGCCTCGCCGGCGGCTCGAGCTCGATGATGGCGTTGTCGATGTCGCTCCGGTCTGTGGCGGCACTGATCGCCGACACTGCAGCGCGACTGGATGAGCTCGGCCACGGGCCAGCCATTGCTGCTGGCGGTCAGATGCTGACCGACACGCTAGCCCAGCTCGAAGCACTTGTGTCGAGCACAGCGGCGGGTGGCGGAAGCCGCGGCGGCGGAGACGGCATCGACTCGCCGCGGCTACGAGCAATGGCCACCGGCTCTGCGCGAGTTATGCCAGCAACCGAGGCTGTGCGTCGCGACATAGCGGCAGCATCTGCACTCCCAGGCCATGTCCTCACTGACGCGTCGTCCCCATCGCGGCGGCTGTCGCTTCCCGACCTTGCCGCCGCGCTCCCTGGAGGCAATCATGGATAATCGAAAGCGAAGGAGACCAAAGTTTGATTCTAGCAGAGGTGTGTGACGATGGTGCTGTCGCACGAGTCATTCGCCAAGGTGGGCGGAAGTGAACGAGATCCTTCTTTGGAGAGCGAGGTAGAACGGGGTTGGAATGGGGAGGGGTGGCAGTGAGGAGCGGGCAGCGGCGAGCAGGCAGCGAGCGGCCGCCGGAAAGACCCACACTCATCTCTCCCCACCCCCTACCACCCCTCCTCTACCCCCTCACACTTGCCTGTGCACATACTCCATCATGTACAGCGTGACGTGCCGGATCCCTGTGGGCAGCAAGCGGCGTGCTGACATTGTGCTTGGTGCTGTGGGTGTGGATGCGGAGCTGCGGCCAGAGGTGGTCTCTCGCCAGTGGGCGGTGGATGATGATGGCGTCCTGGCAGTGTAGGTGGTCATGCCGGAGTAGAAGGGAGTCTAGGTGGAGGGAGGGAGGGTGCACTTACTGTGGTGGTGATGGTGATGGTGACGGTGGCGGTGGTGGTGGCGGTGGTGGTGGTGGTGGACGGCTGGCTTGTGGTCGTCATCGTGCTTGCTAGGACTGTGGCATCGGACGAGCTGCGCGCTGTCCGGGTCTCGTGCACCTCTGTGCTGGATCATGTGGCGCTGGCCATTCGGACGCTGGCGGCGTTTGATGGAGAGGATGCAGGAGGTCAAAGCCAGTCGACGGCTGCTCCTGCGGCTATGGTGGAGAGCGGCATGTGATGCGGCGGGCTCGCTGCTCACTTGCGCTTGCGGCCGGTCGGGCGGCGGCGTGACAAGCCGGGACGGTTGGAGGATGGTGAGCCGGAAGACTTGGCGCCCGATGATTGCTCGGCAGCAAGGAGGAGCTTGCCCATGTCGGTGATACCCTCGACGCCGTCATCGCGGGCCCTGCACCAGTCGGCGCCAGCAAGGTGCCGAAGGGCACGAACCTCGTCCATGGTGCAGCCCTTTGCTCCAAACTGGACAGGGACACGGAGCTTGCGGCCGTTGCGCTCGACGTGGAAGATCTCTGTCTCGCCGACAAAGGCGGCATGAAGGACATGCATAAAGTGTTGCCGCTCGTTGGTCTCGATCTCGCCGACGCGGAGGATGAGGTCGCCGACGCGAAGGCCGGCGAGTTGAGCGGGGCCGTCGGCGGAGAGTGTGGTGACGGCGACACAGTCGGTGCGACCAGCCGAGTTTGTCACGCCCACGCCGCAGATCGACGTGAGCGAGAGCAGCTTCTCGCGGGCCTGATCGCGGAGCTCGACAGCCTTGCGCTCCTCCTCGAGTTGGGCGCGCAGCTGGCGGCGCTCCATGTCAGCAGCGTCGAGCTCGCCCTGGACATCCATCATAGCGGCTTGAACGTCGTGGACCCGCTTGCGGGCGGCAGCCTCGGCGGCGACAGCGCGCTCGTGTTCGCTCTTGGCCTCTGCAGAGAGCTCGGACTTGGTGCGCCGCTCGGCAACGAGGGCGGCCTCGGCCTTGACCAGAGCGGTCTGGGCCTCGAGCGCGGCGGCGCGCTGGGCGGCAAGCTCAGTCTCGCGGGCCTCAAGCTGGGCCTTGAGCTGAGCCTGCTCGAGTTCGCGGCGGCGGAGGGTGTCACGGCGGACGCGCTCGGCGTCGGAGAGCTGGGCCATGGTTTTCTCGAGCGCCTTCTCCTTGGCCGCCTTCTCGGCAGCGAGCGACTCCTTCTGCTTGAGGAGGACCGTCTTCCAGCGCTCATGCTTGTGCTTCTCACGCTCGAGCCGTTGGCGCTCGGCGTCTTTCTCGGCGCGCTCGGCATCAATGACCGCCTGTAGCTCTTCCTGCTTGCGGGCGGCGGCGTGAAGAGCCTCGCGCTGGGCGACCATCTTTTGGCCTTCGCGGAGCTTGGCGAGGCGGTCTGCACGCTCAAACTCTTCCAGCTTGCGGGCGCGGGCTTCACGAGCCTTGCGCTCAGCCTCGACTTCGAGCTTGACGGCCTGGCTCCGGCGGGAGTTGTGCTCGAGGGCGCGGAGCGAGGCCAGGGTGGCAGAGGCAATGCCGGGCGTGTCTTGTGGGCGGACAGCAAGCGAGATGCGAACGTCCTCGAGATGGAGTGCAGCCGCAACCGGGAGGCCGGTGAGGCGAAGGAGGGCGTCAGCAAGTGAGGCGGCCGCGGCGTCGAGGACGGGTGGGAGGAGGGTGTGCCCGCGCGGGACGATGGTGAGAATGGCCGGCCCTGCGAGCGGCGCGGTGGCAAAGTCTGCCGGCCTGTGGGTACCGGCAGCAAAGGAAAGGATGTCAAACGGACCGGGCTGGTTGAGAAGACCAGCCGCGGTGAGGGCGTCTACGTCCGAGTCGATGGCGCGCAGCCGCGGGTCGTAGGCGAGGAGAGTCACGAGCTGGTCGTCGGGCCGGGCTGCCTCTTGGGCGACGGCGACGGCAGTCCGGGTGCCGGTGGGAAGGCCTACACCGGCATAGTCTGAGCTTGCAGTGAGCGAGCCATCCGCGCCCCGGTGGGCTTGGGTGACAAAGGTGAGATCGGGCGCGGCGGCACGGGCTGATGTCTCAGACGAGGCAATGAGGTTGGCGTTGGTATCGACGTAGACAAGTGAGATGCCGGTTTCAAAGTCGTACTCCTCTAGCCGCGGCTCCCAGTCACGGACCGGAGTCGCTCGTGCGGGCGATGCGGGGCCCATAGCCGAGGCCGGACGCCTGGAACCGGAAGCCGCGCGCGAGTCTGTGCGGGAGCTTGCACGCGATGCCGACCTCAGTGGCCACTCGTGCAAGGCCATGGGCGACGACGATCTGGAAAACGGCCGCAGAGACGGCGAGGCCAGAGAACGTGCGTCCGACGGCACAGAATCTGCTGCAAAGACGCGCGGGACGGGCGAAGGTGATGCGATGCGAGAGGAGATGGCAGCCGAGATGGGCGGCGTAGCCGTAGCTGAAGCCGGATGAGCCGAGAAGACCACACCGTCTACACCTACCGAAGCCGCCTGGTTCTGAAACTGGCGGAGGCCATCGATGAGAAAAGCAAACGGATCATCCGGCTGGAACAGCGCCAGCATGCCTGCCAGTTCCTACGGGCACGTGGGGGGTGAGTGGGTTGGAGGTTGGGGGGTTGGGGGGTTGGGGTTGGGGTTGGGGGGGTGGGGGGTGGGGATTGCCAAGAGAAGGACGGAGTGGGCATACCTTGAACATATCTGCTGCACGGATCTGTTTCATGTATGCGTCTGCAGCCCGCAGCCGTGAGTGTGGGCGGTTGCTGGCAGGCATCTGCCTAGGGTGGCGAGGGGGTGAGGGGGAGGGGACGGGTGAGGTGGGCGGGAGGGAGAGCCGTTGGCAAAGGTGGCAAAAGGGCCGGGCGGCGGGTGGTGGGTGGCGGGTGGCGGGCGGCGGATTTGGCGGGGGATTTGACGGCAGATTGGGAGATTTGGGGGGAAAGGGGTGGGGGATGGTGAAGGATGGGTGGATCGGGAGGACGGTTTGGGTCGTGTGTGTGTGTGGGTTGGTGGGTTGGTGGTGGGTTGGCAGTGGTGGTGCAGTAGGGCTGTCTGGGTCGCACACCTGTCTTTGGGCGCCATCGCCGTGCCGTCATGGACAGGTGCGATCTGTGCGGGACAGGGCCAGATGGGGTTAGCGAGCAGATGGAGATGGTGCAGGCTGTGTACTGCATGGATGGCGAGCTGGATCTTGTGCTGCATCAAGGCTGCGGACATGTGGCCGGCTTTGCTGTCCGGCTGGCGAGCAGCACTGCCGTGGCGACGTTCGACTTTGCGGATGCAGACGACGGCGATGACGATGACGATGGCTCCAGCGATGGCAGCGTGACGGCCGGGGTGGTGCTGCGATGCGCGCGAAGGGTAGACGGTAGCGCACTGCCGCGCTCTGTCACGACTGCGCTGATGGCGGCGGCAGGCGGCGGCGAGGCACTGCCGCCGCTCGACGCCATCGCTGCCGTGGCTAGTGCGCTCGAGTCATGGGCCGAGACTGCTCGTGCCGAGTGTACCAGCGACGGCGCCAGCAACAGAAGCAGTGACGATGACAAGCACGGCACGGTGGAGGTGGTCGCCTGGGCCTGGTTCCATCATGTCAGCTCGAGGACCAAGCGCCGGCGGGTGGCGGCGCTCGCCGGCGAGCATGGCGTCTCCGGAGTCTTTGGCATCGGCAAGCCGGGCGTTATGGTCATGCGCGGGAAACGCGCTGATGTGACCGCTATGTGGGCTGGTGTTCGGGCTCTGTCATGGAAGCGGGTGGTGTTTCGCGGTGAGGCGCCGGCCGCTGACCTGGTCGCGGACTATCCGGCCGCCTGGCCGCGGTTCGACGAGGTCGAGCTGCCGCCGTCGGAGCTGCGGCACCTGCTCGCTGACGATCTACACCTAGATTCTGTCGTGTTCACCTCGCTCTTTGTGTGAGGGGGGATCTTTATCATTGCAGCCAGAGGCAGACTGGCTAGCTGCGATGGCGAGAGCGCGAGCGCGAGCGCGAGTGGTTGTCGTAGCTGTTGCGACGAGGGCCTTTGTAGCTGTTGCTCCGGCCGCGGCGCGAGCCGCGGCTTCGATTGCCCTGGAAAAACCCGCCGCGGCCGCGGCCACGACTGCGACTGCGGCCGGCATCGCGCGAGTCTCTACTGAACGACGAGCGGCGCGAGCCACCGTTGTAGCCGCCACCACCGCCGCCGCCGCCGCCGCCGCGCGAACCAGATCTACGACGGCGAAGCATGTCGCTCATTGTGGGAGCGCGACAAGAGGCATAGTCGTGACCCGGCCCCCGCAGTTGAAGCAGTACACCACGCTCGGCGGCTGGCCGAGGCGGCTGTTCTCCTTTTGTGCCTCGGCGGCACGTGCGGCGCGCCACTGCAGCTTGTACTCACCAGTAAAGTTGTAGATCCAGTGGATGGAGCAGTTGCCGGATGAGTGGCCGCGCTGCGAGCACAGGTCGCAGCGAACCGACGACGAGATGTTGGTGGTGCACTTGGAGGCGATGTGGCCGACCATCCCACAGCGGAAGCAGGTCTCGCGTGTGCAAACCGATCGCTCATGGTCTGTGCTTCCGCAGAGGAAGCAGGCCTTGACCTTTTCTTCGTTTGGGCACATGGCCGCCATGTGGCCCATCTGATCACAGCGGTAGCACTTGATGGTCGGATCAGGTGCACTAAAGTACCGTGATCCATGCAACCGCGACTTGATCTCGTTCACCTGCTCGGCCGCCTCCTCTGCTGCCACTGCCGCCGCCAGATTTTCATCTGACTCTTCCTCCCCCAGTACCATAGCCAGCGCCCGCGCATCGCCCGACGACGACCCGAGCTCAATGACCTCGTCGTCGTCGGTCGCCATCCGCCTTCTCCGCCTCGGCCCATGCTCATCCGAAATCGATCCGCCATCCGACGCAGCACGCCTCGCGCCTGCCGATCCTACATCGCTACCAGAGTCACTTGCCACACCCGAGACTTCAGCGCCTGGGCTCTCAGCACCCGAGCCAGCCGCGCCCACGCTCGCCGCTGCGCCATTGTCGTCGGTCACGGTGTCACTGCTCGAGCTGGAATGAATGGAGACGACCACGCGTGGCTTGTCCGACGCCTCTGAGTCTGTTCCCGAGCCCGACATGGTGGGAGGGAGGAGTGAATGAGAATAAAGATGCAGAGTGTTGGGTGTGTGTGTATGTGTGTATGTGCGTGGGGGTGGGTAGGGGGGGGGGTTGGGGAGAGGATGGATGGATCGAGTTCAATCGAGTTGGGTCGGCCAGGGGTTGGGAGGGGGGGGGGTGATTGGCGGGGGGGGGGGGGGGGGAGTGGGGGCGAGTGGGTGGGACGTATGTGCA